ATCATCTAGAAGATCGTTCAAAAATTCAACGACCTGGGAATGTTGATATCAGCGGCCGTGGGATTGAGGATGATATCACGAACCGTATAGCAAAAGCTCGGACGCTTTTGCTAACCTTCGCCACTTATGGCGCCGGCGCGACATCAACTGCCCTAAAGGTAGAGTGTACAATGCAGATCGTACGTATTGTGAAACCTGCCGCTTAAAGCAGCGGACATAAAGAGGTTAGTTACGTTCGACCACCTGTGACCTTCGAAATTAGCTCACACTGAGTGGGAACACCGCGTGAGTAACTGAGCGTGTTCGACGCCTTAGTTTATCGGCACGAGGAAAAGGGAGAACCTGTCAGTCGCCGTCATTTCACGCACGGCCCGATGACTCGGCCACTTGTTACGCATGCCAGCCCACCGACTCCCGCGACGTGCGTTGTTTGCGCGCCGGGGTGTGGATGGAAGAAGAGGAGGGTGGCCAAGCGATGACTTGGTCCAGAGGAATGAAGGCCCTCACTTCTGAGCTGGCCTCGGTTGGAGCGTCTCGGCTCCCTGGTTGGGGTCCGAAAGACGATGAACACGTTTGGTTGGACACACTTGCTGATATGGCTAGGAGCCGACCTCAGTGGCGTTCGTGCTGTGAGTTTCTTTGTCCCACCCCATCCCTCTTAGCCTCCCCTCCAACCACGATCTCATTATTTAGCCTTATATAATTTTGCATAGTAATTTTTTTGGTGCACAGCAGCCGGCTGGTAGCTTACCGGAACGATGCCCATCCGTTACCGGTAGCTCAGCCAGCTTGCACCAGTTGCATTTTTTTCTCCTTTTTTCTTTTATCTATTGCTGCACAGTGGCTGAGGTGTTTCCCACCTCTAGCTAACGTGTATGATGATGATGATGATGCCTTTAAAGACCGTGATGAAGACGGCGGCAGTGTGCAAAAGGGAATCCACTCGGCGCCTGTATCTAGTATGGTATCATCAAGTGCATGTTCCAATGTAAGCGGTAAGAAGAAACATGTCTGAACAGTATCAGATAGAGTAGTATAATCAATTGCTGAATACCCTCACTGATGGCTTAATCTTAAATGCTTCCGGACACGCGTTTGAATCGAATAACACTTGAAGACATTCGTGACAGCGCCGTGTATCGTCGGTATTCAAAGTGAAACTACCATTCTGTTAGGCAGACATACGGATAATCGCGCTCCGTATAAAAAACAACGACAGCCTTGTTGTCACCGTTGAAAATGCCAAGTAGAATACTTCAGCAGATTTTCAAACGAAATGCCAGAATGCGGATACAGGCTGAACCTGACTCTATATCAATCATCGACGCAGATGTCGTCTCAGAGTTGGTGACTTTCAGTAGATTGGTACCATTCAGTACGTTTAACGAAGCAGTTTGCATACAACTGTGCCAGATGTCGCCAGGTTGTGTTCTTTCCCACAAAAATGTATATGGTCTAAGTAAGCACTGGCGATGCTGGTGTGAGTTTCTCTTCATTGTTCCACGCACTCTGTGACACGTCCAGGGACTCTGTTCCGATTCATTCTAGCGTAAATGAGCTACTCCATTCAGGATTGAGTGTTCAACAGTTTACTGATCCGATTGAACGAGGCCATGGGCAACGGTGGGCGCACATAAAACAATGAATCTGCTATGACAGTCCCGGATGGAGTCTAGGAAAGTAGCATGGTAGAATCTCTGCTTTCTGACACAGAATATAAAACAGAGCAAGAGATCTACTGAGTCAAAGGAGCCATTTTTGACCTGCTGTTCTCGTGTGTTGCAGTGTTTCACACTCATTGTTGATACCACACAAAACTCACCTACTAATAATAACCACAATACATTCGTCCATACTTGGTGCTCATTAACAATTTGGTGAGATCAGTTGCTTCCGCTTTCCTATTTTTCGCGGATGGTATCAAGATATGGCGAATGATCAGAGGACAGGACGACCACGAACGACTCCAGTGCGATCTTAACACGGTGTCGAAGTGGTCAGTTCAAAACGCCCTACCAATCAACGTAGACAAATGTTGCGTTGTGCAATTACGCCAGAGACATGAATACACGTATTTGCTTGAGGTACACGGGTTGCAAGACCAGCGCCCATGAACATGAACATGGTGTGCTCGTAAAGAGCAACCGCAACTGTTCAAAACAAACTGCGGTAGCTTCGAAAGAGGCAATCAGCACGTCGGCATGCTGCGAAGGGCATTCGGGAGATTTGCCCCATCAATCTTCCCAATGATGCACAATTCCTACGTGCGCCCGCATGTTGAATACGCTATCCAAGCTTGGCTATCCAAGCTTGGTTGAAGCACGACCTAGAGGTATTAGAGACACCAAAAGGAAGAGCAACAAAGAATGTAATGGGCCTGTGCTATCACTCTTACTACCGAAGGCTAAAGTTGCTGGAAGTTTTCAGCGGATGCTACTGAATGCTGGGCGGAGATCTCATATTATCCTGCCATATATTGAGTGACCCCAACCATGTATGTCTTCATTTGCTGGAACTTAACCACAAAACGCAGCTCATTGGCAACTGTTTAAAATTAATGGAACAATATAGCCGTCTAGTGCCGACGGAATTACATTTCCCTTCTGGTTTACCAACCCTGGAACGCACTCCCAGACTCAGTTGTATCCTCCCTTAATTTGGATATTTTCAAAAATGATTGGATGTTACTCTTAACCTCCAACACTTGGTTAGCTAAATTACGCCATTTTAGATCACACCCATCATGCCCCTCTATAGGATTTATGTGTCACATTGATTCAAGAAGGCGGTGCATAAGTGAGCGTCTATATTTTAGTTTGCCCACGCTTTATATCAACGATCACTGCACCTCGTGGGTTGCTGTATGCTTACACTCGTTTTATATTTTACACTGACGTTATTTATCAACTCATACATCTCAGTAGACGCTCAGTAGATGACTCACATATATTTTGATTTCATCTTATTCATCCCAACCATCCTACGGGACTTGTCATGCATGTATTTTTATCCCGTTATAAATCATTGTTCTTTGTTCCACAATTGACGAAAGCAGCTAAGGTGTAGTGTGGTGTTCGGTAGCCTATCTTAACTAAACTACAGCAACCAATCGAATATCGAGTTAAACGTTTGCTGAGGAATCCATATAACGAGTGACAGTAAGGCACTCGACTAAATGGAACTTAACGTTTTGATTCGTTCTCCGAGCTGAGTAATTTAATGTCATTAAATGTCATTAAATTACACAGCTCGGAGAACGAATCAAAACGTTAACTACCAACCCGAGCTACAGGTATTCCGAATCATTGTAAATGGAACTTGAGTAATCCTCACCACGTACGCATGCCCAATTAGCAATGTGGGGCCTCCTTTAATCAAAATTACGTCTCAAGGTTAATACAACTATGTGCAGTCAACATATTTGCGGAATTGGCCACAAGGGCGTCCGTTCGTCTTGTGCGTTGTTTGCGGATGGCTTAAAGGTTCGGAGAGTAACCCACGTACCCAATAACTGTGACCTGCTTCAGAGTGACCTCGACCGCCACTCCAAGTGGTCTGCAGAGGTCAGCCTTCCGATAAACCCAGTCAAGTCGCAATTCACCAGGCTGGGTAAGGGTGGGCACAGTCAAACCCTATACTATTGCCAATTAAATTCTGCATCCCGCGGCTTTCGTGAGAGACCTCAGTATAGCCTCCCCTTGTTGTCCATGGACTACAAGAATAACCTTTACTAAAACGGACTTCGTATGCCTTGAGCGCTCAAGCGCAGATATAGCGCTTGGTCCGAAAAGATTGCCACTCGCCTCTTCGTCTCAATAATACGACGAATGCTAGAGTACGGCTCACCCGCATATTGTCCTATCACCCGGGGCGAGGTAGAAAGAATTGAGCAAGTACAGCATGTGGCCAGCAGGATGGTGCCCAACTTACGAGGTGTGCGTACGAAGACCGATGTAAGAGACTAAGACTATCGTCCATTGCACCGTTAACTCACCATGATGCACCGGATATTACATCTCGATTACCCCATATTGAGGCCGTTGCGGCATCTGCGCACACCAAGGAGCACACGACGAGACCGGTGCAAGCTTGTCGTACCGGATTTGAAGCGGGTCGCCCACCAACTCTGTTTCGAACTAGAGAGTGGTGAAGGTATGGCACAACCTGCCTCAGCACGTAGTTGGTGCAAAAGCACTGTCGGAATACAAGAAATTCCTGGACAAACACATTGCTGAAATGAAATATTGGGAATGCTCTCCAACATAACAGTTCTTTGTGCCTGGAGGATTTTAGATGCAGCTACATAGAGACATCTCTTCTTATTGCTTCCAACCAGTATGCAGTATTTTCTACAGTGGAACGAGCAGATCTTTGGGTTGCTATGAATGCAATAAACGAGTCGTTTCTATGATTCACTCAGGTGTAATATGGGTATCCCGGTGGCCGAGAGGTCTGCACGTTTGCTTTGCAACCATAAGGTCACCGGTTCGAATCCGCGTAGGGGTGGGCGTCCTCGCGGTATACTCAGCCCGCGCGCGACTGGTGGTGGTCGCGCGGCAGCGAAGCGCCGTTACGGCGTACAGCTGACACATTATTTATTAACATGGGCATCGGGCAATCAAATGAATGCGTTGGCCTCATTTACACCAGAAATACTGGCTACATAAAACAGCAATATCTCAATTTCATTCGGTCCTGTTCCAGTTGACTGTTCTCCGTGAAACGAGGTACGGCGGGTTGTTACAGATGCCATTAAAAATGCATGATTATCACCGATGTCATGGCAACAAATTTGATCCGAGAACGTATTTGACCAGTGAACTGACTGATTCCAAGAGGCCCCCACCTAATACGACGAAAAATCCCCACTAGTTTGCCATTTCACTGGCAGATCATTTGGTGATTTCACCTGGCTAAACGCAGTAATGACACAAGTACACGCGGAGGCGGATACATAGAATCAATCGGTTTGGCGGCTAACGAAGTGATGAAATTGATAGTGTGTGCTATATCCCCCCCCCCCCCCCCCCCCCCACCCCCCCCCCCCCCCCCCCCCCCCCTCCCCCCCCCCCCCCCCCCCCTCCCCCCCCCCCCCTCCCCCCCCCCCCCCCCCTCCCCCCCCCCCCCCTCCCCCCCCCCCCCCCCTCCCCCCCCCCCCCCCCCCCCTCCCCCCCCCCCCCCCCCCCCCCCCCCCCCCCCCCCCCCCCCCCCCCCCCCCCCCCCCCCCCCCCCCCCCCCTCCCCCCCCCCCCCCCCCCCCCCCCCCTCCCCCCCCCCCCCCCCCCCCCCCCCCCCCCCCCCCCCCCCCCCCCCCCCCCCCCCCCCCCCCCCCTCCCCCCCCCCCCCCCCCCCCCCCCCCCCCCCCCCCCCCCCCCCCCCCCCCCCCCCACCCCCCCCCCCCCCCCCCCCCCCCCCCCCCCCCCCCCCCCTCCCCCCCCCCCCCCCCCCCCCCCCCCCCCCCCCCCCCCCCCCCCCCCCCCCCCCCCCCCCCCCCCCCCCCCCCCCCCCCCCCCCCCCCCCCCCCCCCCCCCCCCCCCCCCCCCCCCTCCCCCCCCCCCCCCCCCCCCCCCCCCCCCCCCCCCCCCCCCCCCCCCCCCCCCCCCCCCCCCCCCCCCCCCCCCCCCCTCCCCCCCCCCCCCCCCCCCCCCCCCCCCCCTCCCCCCCCCCCCCCCCCCCCCCCCCCCCCCCCCCCCCCCCCCCCCCCCCCCCCCCCCCCCCCCCCCCCCTCCCCCCCCCCTCCCCCCCCCCCCCCCCCCCCCCCCCCCCCCCCCCTCCCCCCCCCCCCCCCCCCCCCCCCCCCCCCCCCCCCCCCCCTCCCCCCCTCTTTCGAAACACCCCACTCCCCAAACCCCCCCACCATTTCCCCATCAATGTGTTCCCCCACCAACACCCCGCCAATCCCCGAACCCATTTCCAACACAATCACACCCCCCAACAACCCCAACAACACCACCCCAACCCATACCCGACCCCTCCAAATACTCCAGCCAAAACCCCCCACCACATTTCCGTCGTCACCACACACACCCAAACACCACCCCCCCCCCCCCACACCGCAGGCAGATCGTCAGATTGCAGGCTTAGGAAGGGACGGAAATAGGTGCGGTCAGACAGCAACATGCAGACTGGCTGTCATTTGTGAGAAAAATGCAACTTCAGCTCGTTCCAGTGGAAAACATTTTTCTTTAAGATTCAATATGTCAAGTGCGTTAATAAAGAGCGTTTTTGTAACACTCGAATAAAAATTGGTGAATCATGCATAAAAAGCTCAATGGCAAGTGACCCACCGCTCAAGCGGGATCGGCGTTTCCTGCCCCGTACTGGGTTAATTGTATTACAGAACGACAATACTCTTAACCCATCGGAGACAAGAGTAGAGAATAGTCGATAATCAAGCAGAGTTGGGAGGCATTCAGCAGTCACAAAATCAGAAATCCAATACTAATGGAAATTTTTAAAGGGTGCTCCTGCAAAATCACAGGACCATAGCTTCTCACTGCGTAAGATTTACTGTAAGCGTGAATGAACCCAGTTAGATATCAGGTAAAATTCGCCACGTTAAATGGCGATGTATGTACTACGTTTGGCTGGATATTTACACAAACTCATAACCCATCATGACGAAGCAACGTAAATGTTCCATCGCAGCATTCCGCACCATTAAATGCAAGTGTCCGGAAGATGGATGGTCTCATGACTTCAGCTAATCCCAGTTGAATCAGAATTGATGTAATACGCACAAGGAAACATCCACTGACCTATTTTGGCCCACTGTGACTATGGACTGAGTATAGTGCCTTGTAGCTTACAAAGTAAGTTGTCAATCAGGGTCAATTTTTGCAGCAGGACACCACTTGCGGAGAGGGTTTGCACATTTCAACTTCGATTAAATGAAGCTTTGTGATCTGTGGAAGAACGTCTCTAGACAATATGCATGCACGTAAATCCATCCTACTCTGGTAGAGAGAAGGGTTCAATAGCATTGATCTGTTAAAACGCTTAAGACTACTTTGTGGCCTATACAACAGATGCTCTTCAGTTTCTTAGTTTCTAATTCTGATACGATGAAATCTAATGGATGGGAAAGAATCAGACGTAAAGAACCGTGGTATACAAGTAGGCTGAAGGACTAGAATTCAATGTGTGTTATTTTTGTAATTTTCCACATCGTTAGAACAAATGTAATGCACTGATATTTCTTGGAAAGAGAAGAAGGTGGTTGTTTTGCCACTACGTACTCGAAAAATCCAGCGATCAGATGAGGACCGTAGAGCTCTGCGGAAGTGGTCTTGAGGCAAGTAATGTCATTACTGTGCCTTGTCAACAGTCTGCAGTTCCAAAGCTCAAGTAACTAGTGACAATGAGGCTCAGATCGATATCTAATGGAACTTGTTGGAGGTGAAAGAAAAACACAATGTTTTTCCATGTTTCAGAACATTTGTTACTACTGCTTGTTACATGCCCCTCACACGACCCGTGGTTCTTTCAGGTCGATAAATTCAAATTAGCCCTCAGCCGTGATTGGGACTGGACTTTGTGTGTTTTCATACCGACGCCGACCCGTGTAGTGTTCCGCAAATATACCTCCTGTCCGGTGCGTTATCTTTTTGACTCGTGGGGCGCAACCTAAGAAGTCGAACGCCTGGGGACACAACAGAACTCATGACACCATTGGGCTGAAGACAGAGTTGAGCTCCAAATATGATCTGTAATCATTAGGAAGCCCTATTTCCAGTTTGGAATACAATTGAAACCCCCTGCTTTCAGTGGGCTTTACTTGTCTTCGAATTCACGTGTAGCTACTCTACGGCTGAATGACTTGATCACACCAGCATATCCATCAAGCGAGTTGTCAAGTAATACAGTTACGTTGACAATTACAAAGCCTGATAGTACCTAACGATTGCGCGGTGGAGTCTCCGTGACAACATCGACAGTGTGATCAAATTACTGTATCGCCTAGCTGGCTTTTGCGTATCCATTCACACTGTCATGTGCCTCTAAACGGCCCACATATAGGTCGGAGCGCAGGGCCAACATGGACGCCTATCCATGTTGCTGTAAATTTGCCCTTATCGGTCATTCGAATCACGATACCCAGATTCACTCGTTATCGACCGGCATTTAGGCGACCCAGTCCAAATTAATGGCACACCAAGGTCTCATACACTCCAACTCAATAAGCAAGTTCTGTTCTCACCTCATCACTTCACGGGGCCCACCTTGTAGTTGCCATCGTTCTACCCTGAGTGCTGTGTAGGCTGAGTACTCATCCGTTGTAAGGGCCCATATGTAGGTCAATCAATAATCTTAGTTGAATTCACATTATTGATTGCCGGCGCTATGGTAGGTAGGTTTGCGTGCAAATGTGCTTAAAGTACTCTGGTTAACCTCAGTTGACTGTGTTCACAAAGTAGCGGCCTAACTTGTTCTAACGTGTGGCTCTGCTGGCTATTGTAGTCAACTACCAGCAAGCACGTGGTTTCGTTACGTGCTTTACATCCTTTGAGTAACTTCTATCAAGCCCAGCGAGTGTGGGGATACGATCCTTCATTTAGTATAAATTCACTGAATAAATGTATCATGTGTTATGTACCCCCAACCGTTATTGACAGCTGGTTGTCTTGAAATTTTCTTTTGACCTGGTTTATGCTCCCAATTGGAGATACACGGCTAACCATTCGCTACATACGGAGCGCCAGGGTAAGTGTTCATGATGTGTCCGAGACAAATCCCGAGTCAATCAATTTGCGACGTGGTGGCACACCAATTTTTAACTGTACCGTTTAAGTACCAGCATTGTTTCTCCTTCAATCAACAAGACTATGTGCATATTCTTCGTAGGCAAGTGGTGTCATGCCATCGGGGGAATTGGGCGCAAAGGATTATACCCTTGCTTGTGTTTGCTACTGAACTCCTTTTCCGCTCTTGAGCCGGCACTCCATGACAAGTTTCCTTCTCGTCTGACTCTCAGGCAGAGACTCTCGGAGCTTAGATTACCATCCAACAGTTGGTTTTTGTTGACTGATCCATTGAATGTGAGGCCAGGGAGCTTCACTAACGACGATTTCCTGCTGGTTCACAATTTAGCGGCAGCTTTTTAGGTTCTACCGGTCTATCGCACTTCAAACGTATAACAGCTACTTCAAAATCCAAAAATCACTTGCTAACCACGATGTCACGCTTTGCGCACGGGTACGACTTTCTGTTCATCTAGTAGCAACTGTCAGCCACTAGCTATGGTGTCTTAATCCCATCTCCAGCCACCTCTACAAAAGGAGGGAAAACGAGGACGAAATTAATCATGGGGTGAAGTTTTACGAGTGTGCCACTCCGAAGGGATCTCCGTTTTGAATGGGGTCCAAGTCATCGTAGTGACTGAGATTCACGCCAAAGAAAATTAGGGTCCCAGTTGAGATTACTTACCGCAATCCAAATGTATGATGGATTCTCTTGACTCAAAGGTGATTCCTTGCCTCAATACTTGCGCGTTCCAGAAGTCTCGTTGCCATCAACTTGTCAACATTTCCTTTCTAGAACGGTTTTCACAAACTTACACTTACCTAGGTCAACTCGAAGTTTTGGATACTGTATTTTGAGAGGAAACGGAAATTCGAATCCGTACAACGCCATGGAAAGATGATCAAAAAGGTTTACAAAGTAAACCATATACGAATTGTCCATACGTTAATCGCTTTTTAATTTTCCATGCTATATAGTAAAAAAAGGTGTAACTCACAGTAAATGAGGACAGTAATGTGAGATATCAGTACATAATCATTCTCGGAATCTAACACTTGAGAAGTACACATTCAACAGCCAGTTCAACTGCTGCACTGTTCCAGACATTTATCGCTCACCGTTCAAAGCACAGTGGATGGAGAACTCTCCTCAGATCCGGAATCACAAACTTGTACCGGTGTCCGGGTGTGCTGCGAGGTGTTCGCAAGTGGAGCAGCGGCGTCAGCATGGGGAGGTCACCCAGAGGTAGAATGCGGTAGGTTATGATAAGGTCGATTCGCAACCGACGTTAGGCCAGGGTGTGTAGTCCCAGTCTTAGGCATCTATACTGATGCGGTAAGCCCTGTAAACTTTACGATCCTGGTAGCGACGCTTCGGACTCATTCAATATTATGCGTCTCGCCTCGACTGGTCTGGCAGTAGGCGGGCGAGCTGTACTCTAGCATTGGTCTGACGATGGAAGAGAAGAGACCTGATAGCTTCACACCAGATGCAGAAGCTATGTTTGAGCGCACGTAAGTGTTGCCCACGGACTTCAAGTCACAACGTGAGAGTACGCTTAGGTCCTTCACGAAGGTATGGGATATAGCGAACATCCTTATGAGTAGATTTTACTTCTCAAGAGACCCTTTTTGGCATCGACACGGACCAGTTGCAACGTAGCAAATTTAAGTTGGTTTTCCACTGGAGCGTACCCCGCGTTAAACTTCATAGACAAAGTTTCCCCCTATTTAAAAGCGGAATGTGGTTGAGTCTACTCAGATAAATCATGTGGGCAAGATTAGCCCCTTGACAAATCTCCTTGGTTCAGTAAATAACTATTTAAGTGGCTTTACCCTTTGCAACTGCCTTGAACTTCAATTGTTTGAGCCTTGGTTATCGAACACATGTAGATTGGAATGACGTTTTCCGTTATTTTTCAAAAGACCCATGTTGGAGGCAAATGCCACAAATGCAACCGTGCGGTCTATGAGTTCTCTGCGCCAGAAGGACACAACCACTGATTCGGTAAAACAAGAACCGATCGAAACACACAGGAATGCGCGACTAGTCCCGGTAATTTAACTCACACCACCACCGACTCGGCAAACCATTATGCTGTAATCAGCAGGCTTAGTGTTACAAAAAGATAACCTAATCTACAAACGAATTTGTCGCCATTGAGCGACT